GGGCCCCGTCCCCCACCTCCGCTGCCCTGGGGGCCCACAGGAGCCCCAGGCAGGGCAGGGCAGGGCGGAGGGCTGCCCGGACAAGACCTCACCACCCACAGCTGCTGACAGCTCTGCCCCCGTGAGCCTTCATCCCTGCTGGGGGGAGGTGGGGGCCAGGGCAGCGCTCAGAGCATCTGCTATGCTGTAACTGAGACCTCGGACGCATCACTAAATCATCCTGGCCCTGAGTCTCCCCTCCTCTGGCCACCTCAACACAAACCTCAGACCTCCCCCCAAGTTTTCTGAGGCTCAGAGAGGTTAAGTGACTAGCCCAAAGCTACCAGCACGCTTGTGGGCAAGATTTCTGGGAAGAGAAATGCCAGAAAGAGGCAAGCAGGGGGCCAGACTCACAGGACGTGGAGGGGGATGGAGAAGAAGGGGGAGACGGAGGGGCAGGCCCAGGGCTGGCCGGGGTCCCCTGCCCTCTGTCAGGGCACAGCTGCCCTCCTCTCCCCCAGGCCACAGCTCTCCTTGTGTTCCTGTAAATAATTAATTAGCCCCTGCCTGCTTGTTTGTTTAGCATGAGGAATGCTCCCCCACTGAGATGCATTTATTGCTGAATAAATTTAAATATCTAATCTTCCCTTCATGAATATTACAGCACCCTAAATAGCGGCCAACATATCCTAAGTGCCTTGGCAAATGGCCCCCACGGGAGCCTGCCTGCTTTGCTGCCGCTGGCTCTGCGGAGGCCCGGCTCCAGCCCCTGCTCTCTTTGGACGCCCTGCCAGCCCCGGCCTTGCTAGGAAGGCGCTGAGTCTGAGCTGATGCTCCCGAAGGCTGAGAACAGGGCTGTGGAGGCCGCACTGATAGCAGGAGGCTGGGGTGGGCTTCCAGGCAGGGGCGGCAGGGCTTCTCCGGGGGACGTACCTGGACCCGGGCGGAGAGTCAGGGCTGGAACAGAGAAGGGACAGACAGGGCCCCCAGAGAGCCATCTGAGGAGATGGGGAAGGAGGTAGAAGAGATCAGAGAGGCAGGAGGATGGGGAGAGCCGGTCTCCAAGGCCGCCCTGCTGGACTGGATGCAGACAGTCAGCGGTCAGCCTGTGGGTGCAGCTGAACGGTCTGCACGGGGAGAGCCCCCAGACGGCTCAGCAACCAGAGGTCCCCCGAGCAGCCCCTTTGTTGGGAGGGGGATGGGGAGACGTGGGGAGGGGCCAGGAGCCAGGCTGCAGGGGACTGGCAGAGGAGACAGCAGCTGCAGACAGGGCACCTTCCTGAAGTGTTTGAATGAGGAGGGCGAGCAGCAGCCAGCCAGCGTGGAAGGGCGGCTCAGGGTGGGAACAGTGAGGACAGGTCCTGTCGTGGTTCTCGAGGAAGTGGAGCTGTCCAGGTGTGTGACCTTAGGCAAGTCTCTCACCATCTCTGCCTCAGTTTCTTCTTTGCTAAAGCAAGAAAAGTGATAGCACACCCAGGCTGTGAGGATCAAATATGACGGTGGATGTATAAGGCTCAGCACCTTGCTCACTAAGAGGCTAAAATTAAGGAGCCGTATCTGGGAGCTGGGGCTTCCCTGGCGGCTCCATGGTAGAGTCCGCCTGTCAATGCAGGAGATGCAGCTCCGATCCCTGCGTGGGGAAGATCCCCTGGAGGAGGATATGGCAACCCGCTCCAGTCTTGCCCGGAAATTCCCATGGACAGAGAAGCCTGGTGGGCCATAGTCCATGGGGTCATGAAAGAGTCAGACACAACTTAGTGACTAAGGAACAACAGCAATAAAAATCTGACAGCTTAACCTGGAGGAGCGAGGAGGCAGCTGCGGAGGGAGGCAGCGCGGGCCTCTGGGCCATCTTCTGCCAGGGAAGGGCTCCGCCTGGACTAGTGGAGAGGCATGAGGAAGGCCCTTTCGCCCACGTGGGCTCAGTCCCCCAGCAGAGACCCGAGGTTTTCTGCTGTCTTGAAGTGGGGCAGGGTCAAGTAGGACGTTTGGGGGAATGTGGCCGTGGGCACCAGGAAGGGTTCTGAGGGTCAGCTGGTATGAACTGGGGACACCCCCGTACCAGGCAGGCCTGAGGCCCAGCTTCCCCTCTATCCTGGTAACAGCCAACGATAGTCAGGTGGGGAGTGGGGAGGAAGGGATGGGACCCCGGAAGCCTCCTGCTTCCTGTCTCCAGGGCTCAGCTTAGCCCAACCTAAGAGCCGGGGCAGGGCCTGGGGTTCGGAGCCAGGGGAGGTGGGGGTCATGGTGGGAGGTGTGGGAAGGGGCAGTCCTTTGGCCTGTAGCTAAGGCCAGTGGGGCTGGGGGCATCCTCAGAGACAGGAGAACCACAGGTCTGCCCTTGGTTGGGGAAGGGGGACAGGAGGGGGCCAGGCTGGCTCTGGCTTGGGGGGAGGGTGGGCAAGAGGGGAACCTCGAACCTGTCCCTCATCTCTACTTTGGGTGAACGGCTCCCTGGGCACTGTCACAGGAGTCACATGGCCCCGGCCCTATTCTGGATGCTGCGGGGGGTGGGGGGACTCCTGTCCAAGGGCTCTGCCGGCGCCAGTTCCTCCCGCCTCCTCCCACCTCATGCCACCAGGTCAGCCCCAAAGGCCTGGCTGCAGGCCTGTCCACTTCTGCAGGAAACATTAAGTCCCTGAAACAGATCTCGCTGAGCTCCACTTCCGCACGGCCCCCCACTGCAGGCCAAGGTCGCCAGCAGGGTGGACAGCACTGGGAGATGGCAGGCAACCTGGTGCCAAGTGGATGAGACCACTGGGGCAGGGCCGGGAGGTCCCTAGGAGAGCCGGCGCAGGCAGGTCCCTGTGCTCACCCCACATGCCCTGGATGCCACCTCCCACCACACTCCTGGGTGTACACAGGTCGGGTATAGGCCCGTACAGTCTCAGTGTCCAAGTAATAGCCAACACTCGGGTCGCCTTCACTCATGCCAGGCACTGGCTTAAGCACATTACAGGAATTAATTTAATCCTTCCAATATTCCTATGAGGTGAGTACTCGTATTATCCCATTTTACAGATGGGGCAGTTGAGGTCCGGAGAGGTTAAGTGCCCTGGATCACACATCTGTGACTGGCAGAGCTGGTATTTGAACCCAGGTTGCCCAGCTCCACAGCCCCCGCTGTTGCACATGGCGCTGGGTGGTTCCGTGGTACCCCCCACCCAGAATAGACACAACGCAAGTAGACGGTGTACACCCACTGTGCCACACCACCCACTCTCCGCCCCTGCCATTGGCTGCGGCTACCCTCAGCCCTGCACATGAGAGGGGGTGGCAGGGGACCCAGTGACAGATTCCCTCCCGGGGATCCCCCAGTTCTTCTACCCCTCACCCCCACCCCCACTCCTGGGATGCTCGGGAGATCACCTGGTGCCACCTCCGGGTGAAGTCTCAGAACTAGGTTTAATCGGGCTCGCAGGCGCGAAAGGGAACGGAAGCCAAGGGGCCGGTCCAGCGGTGGCCCTGGTCCTGGGCTTGGATTTTGAGGGTGGGGCTGTGATGAGGAACTAGGCCCTCAGTTTGAGGTCTGTAAAATGGGGAAACGGTAGTAGTTCCTGCTGCAGAGCATGGAGCCCAGTGTCCAAGACGCCCCTGGCACGGGCCTAGGCGCAGTTGGAGCTGGGGACCTGCCGGAGGTGGGTGATATTCTCCCGGGGGATGGCGGGGGGAGTGGTCACTGCCCCAATCTTTCTGATGTGGCAGAGGACGCTCTGGGAAAGGGGAAAGGGCTTGCCAAGGTGCCGCAGTCAATGAGGGGCGAGTCTGGATTTGACTCTCCTTGAGGCTGACCCTGCCTTTCCCTCGGAGCCGCAGCAGCCTGGGGAGCTCAAGGAGAAGCGTCTCTTCCACACATCCCGCCGCGCCCACGACGACTTGTTTATCTTGGTCCGGGTCCCCAGGGTCGCTGGTGAGGCCCTAGAGCCGCCCTCGGATAAACAAGCCCAGGCCCGGCCCCAATTAAGCCGGATGCACTAACGAGGCGGCTCGTTAACGAGTTTGGGTGCGCGCCCGGAGACACCTGCGCGCCCCGGACCACCCTCCCGCGTGGCGCAGGAAGGAGGTGGAATACCTAGCTCAAGGACCCCATCGGATCGGCCTCTTGTATCTAGGTGGCCTCAGTGTCCGCGTCTGTAAAGTGGGTCTTAAGAGTTTGTAAATGGCAACCCACATCAGTAGTCTTCCCTGGTAGCTCAATTGGTAAAGAATCCACCTGCAATGCAGGAGACCCCGGTTGGATTCCTGGGTCGGGAAGATCCCCTGGAGAAGGGAAAGGCTACCCACTCCAGTGTTCTGGCCTGGAGAATTCCATGGACGCAGTCCATGGGGTCGCAAAGAGTCAGACACGACTGAGCGACTTTCACTTTCCCTTTCCAGTATTCTTGCCTGGAGAATCCCATGGACAGAGGAGCCTGGCGGGCTATACAGTCCATGGGGTCGCAAGAGTCAGTCAGACATGACTTAGCGACTAATCCACCACCAAGAGTTTGTAAAGCGGGTCCGAGAGGGCCTCGCCTTGGGAGGTCGGCGTTCGGATCCCAGGCTCCTCCCGCGAAGGTGGCGACTGGCAGCGGGCCCCGCGGCCTAGAGGGCGGATTTTCCCCCTTGTCCGGCTCGGGCTGCGGATCCTGTCGCTCGGACCCGCCTCCCGAGTCCCGGCTCCGCCTCTGCCCGGGGAGACCTCAGCCCCGCCTGCGCCCCTGCCGCGCGCCCAGGAAAGAGCAGGGCGGACGGGGCGCGCCCCCTGCCGGCGGGTCTACGCCGGCTCCCGCCGCGGCCCTCTCTGGCCCCCGTCTACGCCTCGGTTTCCCGAGCTGTGAAACAAGTGTGGGACCGGGGGTGCGGGAAGAGGGTGGAGGTGTGAGGGAGCGTCTGGAGGCCGCGGGAGAAAGGCTCGGGTCCGGGTGAGTCCCGCACAGCCCAGGAATTGGAGTCTTCTCTCCTTGGGCCTCGGCCTTCTCTGTAAAACGGGCTCAGCGGGTGGCGGGGAGCCCCACAACTCACTGCCCGGTTCCCTGCAGTGGACGGCTGCATCCACCGAGCCGCCGGACCCCTGCTCACCGACGAGTGCCGTACCTTGCAGAGCTGCGAGACCGGCAAGGCCAAGATCACCTGCGGCTATCGGCTGCCGGCCAAGTGTGAGTCCCGGACACCCCCACCCCGTGGGGCGCAGACAGGGCGCCTTGCGTAATTAGTGTAACTCGGGAATAAGGGTGTACCCCGACAGAATTGCTGGAGGCCTCCTCCGGGGGCACTTAAGTGCCAGGACCTGGCTCCTCCTCGCAGATCCCAGGAAGCAGGTGTGTGGAGGGCATGCGCAGAGGCTGGTAGCGGCAAGGACGAAGTGAGGGAAAGAGCTCAAGAACGTCCATTGTTTCAGCCCGGTCCAGAGAGATGTGGGGAGGGGGCCTGCGTGGGCTGGCCTGTCTGTGCAGGTGTGAATTATATGTGTGGGGTCCCTATCCGGGGAAGATCAGAACTGGGGGAGGAGGGGGCTTGTCTCCTGTCCCCTCCAGGGCCCAGGGGTTTCCCTGGTGGCTCAGCTGGTAAAGAATGCGCTGGCAATGCGGGAGATCTGCGTTCGATCCCTGGGTTGGGAAGATCCCCTGGAGAAGGAAATGGCAACCACCCCAGTCTTCTTTTGTGGAGAATCCCATGCACAGAGGAGCCTGACGGGTTACAATCCATGGGGTCACAGAGTTGGACGGGACTTAGCGATTAAACCACCACCACCACCACCAGGGCGCAGGCAGGAAGGAGGGAAAGCCGAAGACCGCCGGGAGCTCCGGCCGGTCTGACCTCACCCCCTCCCACAGATGTCATCCACACGGTGGGACCCATCGCCCACGGAGAGCCGAGCGCCAGCCAGGCTGCTGAACTCCGCAGCTGCTACCTGAGCAGCCTCGACCTGCTGCTGGAGCACCGGCTCCGCTCAGCGGTGAGGGGCGGCGGGGCGGGGCGGGGCGGGGCGCGGCGCGGCGCGAAGAGTGACGCTGTCCCCAATCCCTTCTTACTACCCGTCACCCTAGGCGTTCCCCTGCATCTCCACTGGAGTGTTCGGTGAGTGGGCTCTAGAAGAGGAAGGGTGCAGATGGGCGGTGCGCGGGCCAGGACGCCGGGAGGAGCCGGAGTGGGCGGGGCGGCGAGGGGCGGAGCTCGGGACTCACTGGGGCCCACGGTCCCGTCCGCAGGCTACCCCAACGAGGCGGCGGCCGAGGTAGTGCTGACCGCTTTGCGCGAGTGGCTGGAGCAGCACAAGGACAAGGTGAGGCCTGGGTCCAGCCGAAGGGAGCGGAGGAAGTGGGCGGCGGGGCGCATGTGACCAACCCCACCCATCATCGCCAAGGTGTCCAGAGAGCCAGGCACTTGCTCTCTGCGTCCTTTAACTCGGTGCGTTTTCTTCCCCTGCGGCCAGGGCACAGGGAGGTTCGCGAAAGGGGTAGCGGGGCACACACCGCGCCACGAGCCCCTTCTGTAGCCCGAGCTCTAAACCCAGGTTGAAGAGCGCCCCAAGGACAGGGCAGGGGAAACCCCACAGGGGTAGGGTGGTGGTGAGACCCAGGAGCCGGGGAGCCGGCCGCTTCCTCCCAGGCTGAACAGGCCCTGATGCAGGTGGACCGGCTCATCATCTGCGTGTTCCTGGAGAAGGACGAGAACATCTACCGAGAACGCCTCCCCCACTACTTCCCGGTTGGTAGGTGTCCCCTGCCCGACAGCGCGCCCCCGCCAGCCCCTGTCCCGCCCCGTCCACCCAGGACAGGCTCTCACTGTCCTCTGCCTTCCAGCGTGACGCTGCCCACCCTGACCAGGACTGGTAAGCAGGGCCTGGCCCCCCGTGTGGCTGCCCACTAACCTCATGCCCACTAACACCCGTTCACCCCCACGCAGGGAAGAAAGCCAGGGAGGCAGCCTGGGAGGCCGGGGCAGCCCATGAGCCACTGCTCTGACCTCTCGTCTTTGCCTGCAGACTCCCCTGGGCCCGCTGGACCACGCTCCCAGCTCTAAGAAATCTCTGAAGCCTGCAGTGGGGCCTGGCGGGGCCACGCTATTCTTTCCCTACACCTCCAGCCCCGTCAGGAGCCTAATAAAGACCACTACTGCTGCAGCTCCAACTGTCCCAGCTCTGCGGGGGGGAGGGAGGGCGCCCAGGTGTGGACAGCTGCTGTGGCACCGAGGGGCTGCCGAGAGCTCTCAGCGAGCCAGGCCGGGGAGGCACGAGGCTGACAGCAGAGCTGGCAGCAGCACGTCACATTTATTGAGGGCCTGCCCCCAGGAAGCTCACAGCCTGGGGGCCGAGACCCCACGTGTGCCAGGATGCGGGCGGGGTGAGAGACGAGGTGAAGGCAGAGAGGAAGGCAATGCAGACACCGCGGCCCAAGCAGTGGGGGTGCAAAGCAGGCACAGGCAGGGGGCCAAGGGGAGCAGAGCGGGGAGGATGGGGGACCACACACAGGCTGGAGGACTGCCCCTCCCCCACCTGACTGGCACCACCTGGGGTGCCCTGGGGCACCCTAGCGCCTCCCCCTGCCCTGAGCCAGGCTGCAGCATCATGCAGTCCCTCTCCACCCAGGACTCCACCACGCAGAGCCCTGATGGAGGGCATGTGGCTGGGACTCCGGCCAGGACAGCAGGGTGGGGGCAGGGCCCAGGAGGGAGCAGCTAGAAGCTTCGGTGCTCCTGGGTTCCCGGGGAAGGCTCCGAGGACCTTCCACATCCCCAGGGAAACCCCTGGCCAGCTAAACAGGGAAGGGACAGAGGCCTGAAGGGAAAGAAGCAGAACCCCAATAACCAGGAAGGGTCCCCGAGAGGCCCAGACCCCTCAAAACTGCTCCTGGCGGGGAGGTTTGGGGGTGGACAGTGAAAAGCCAAGAGGAACCCACCTGAGGGGAAGGGGGGCAGCCAGACACAGCACAGCCAGGCGGGCAGCAGCCGGGCAGGGACACGCACACACGCTGTCACCACCAGCGTCCCCTTTAATAAAACACGGGAGGTCGTGTGACAGGGAGGGGTAGGCGAGTGAAGTATGACCATTTACAACCACAAAAAACCTCTGTACATGTCTAGCGCCTGGCAGAGGGGTGGGTGGGCAGGGTGGTGGCAGGCCAGGCGGCCCTATTTGTAGAGGATGTCGTAGTGTCCAGGCCGGTAGAGAAGGTAGACCTTGGGCTCGGAGCCCTCAGGGAAGATGTGGGGGTTGGTGGTGCCGCCCTCGCCACGGTCCATGTACTCCACCTGGATGGAGACGCTGAGCGCCTGGGCCAGCGCGATGATGTGGATGTGGTCGCTCTCCTTGCACATGGGCTCCACCTCCTGCAGCACAGGGCAGCTCAGGGGGTGCTTGGGGCCCGGGGCTCAGGGCCCCTCCCACCTGGGCTCCCCCCCAGGGCTCGAGAGAAAAGGGGGCTCCCGGCTGAGGAGTGGGGAGGGGGCAGCACCTGCTGGCAGAACTCCTTGACGGTCCGCCCCCCCTCGATGAAGTGCTCGAAGAACTTGCTCTCGCGCTGCAGGTAGCCTGAGGTGAGCAGCCGAAGGTAGACCACCAGGTAGTCCGAGGTGCTCTGGTCATTGAAGGAGGCCAGCAGGTCGGCCACGGAGGTCTGCTTCTCCACCTGCTCGATCAGGTCCATGAACTGCGCCCAAGGGGGACAGAGGGGGGAGATGGTCACCCCTGCCACCGCCAGGCTGCCACCCGCCACCCTGGCCGACCCCGTGGCGGGGCAGCTGGGCTCACCGTGTTGTGGAAATCCTCAATTGTGAACTCAGTGAAGCCTTGGGACACCAGGTCCTCTTTGCTCTTGGCAGACACAGCCTTGAACCTGTGGACGGGCAGAGGGTGCCATGGGCTACTAGGCCAGCACTGGGGCTCAGGGGGAGCCACACCTCCTAGCCACCAACAGGGAGGACGGAGCCCAGGCACCATCACGGAACCTCTCCCATGCGCCTCCTCACCGCTGCAGTTCCTTGCTGTCGTCCAGCAACGCCTCCAAGTGGGAGAATCCGAAAGCGCGATAGAAGCAGTTTCCATCAGGCCTGGTCTTGCGGATGTATGAGTACTTTTTGTGGAGGTCCTGCGGAGAGGCAGCCCCCACCCCACCCCATGCCCATCAACATCCGGCAGAAACCAGGGCAGGCCCAGGAAATGCCCCCAACAGAGGTCACACCACAACAGCCTCCTGTGGTCTTGGCTGCTGACTCCGATAATGGGGGTCACTTAGCAACCAGCTGCTGGCAGCCCCCACAGCCTCAGGAACACGAATTATAGACACATTGGTTGCATCGGTCACCAAAGTGGTCATCAACCGCTAGGCATGCCATGCTGCTGGGCCTAAAGGGCTACTGTTTCATAAAACCAGGCAAGTGAATGGGTCCTTGACAGAGGCAGCTTTTCCAGTGAATAGCCTTTCAAACCCTGAGAGTTCCAAGGCAAACACGTCAGTGTATTCGGCGCAGTGCTGCACTGGGGCCCCCACTGCAGTCCTGGGCAGGAAACAACCCCCTCACCTCCATCTAATCCCTACCCTGCCCGCTCACAGGTACTGGTTCAATCTTTCCCAGTTTCCTCCCCAGCTCAACGGAGTTTCTCCTGTCTGTTCCATTTCCCCTCAGGAGTCAGGAGTCTGGCCCTTGGCGCTGTCCCGCAACCAGGCCTCACTCCCCGGGCCTGAGCACCCTCCCCTTCCTCCTGACGCCTATATTTCATGCCTTCTCCCCATATCTTAAGCCCCCAACTAGTCACCTTCTCGACGACCATGCTTCCTTTGTGAGGACTTCCACTAAGAAGCCGTCACCCCCACGGCACCCTGCCCTGCCGGGGCCTCGCTCTCCATCCCTGGAGGGTCCAAAGCTGCTCCCAGAGCTACCTTCCCTTGGACTTAGGACACTATTCCTGAAATGTGCCCTCCCCTCCCCACCATCAGCTTCTCTCTCCCAATCCACTGGACCCAGCCGCCTATAAACAAATGCTCTGCTCCCCATGAATTCCCTTGCAGCTACCTCCCCACCTCTCTGCTCTCCTGCAGGGCAGCACTACTCCTGAAGCCGCCTGTGCCGCTGTCTCCGTTTCTTTTCTGCTGGGAACGAAAGCGCAGCCGGCTTCTACTCTAGTGAAGGTCACAGACGCCCTCCTAAGTCCGAGGGTCAAACCCACTCCCCCCAGACCGTTGCTGAGCGGCGTCCACCTGCACCCACAGGTGTGGTGATGCGAACCCCCTTCTTCCCTCCTCCCCCACCCTCCCCGTGCCCTCTGACCTCACCACTGCCCCTCTTCACCTACCAGTGGTGGTCAGGATCGCCACCCAACCACACACCCTTCCTCAAGACCTGTGTGTCACATGCCACAAGACAGTCACGCCAGCGACCATCCACAGCCCTTGCTGCGTGAAGAGCACAACCTGTTCAGGCCTGGGGCAGCCCCAGTGTCAGCTGTCTCCTGACCTCCTGGGATTTAAACGGAATTCTTCACCCACCCACTTCACCCTCAACTCAACTGCCTGGGCTGCACCCGCTCTAAACTGCCCAGCCAACAGGCGGCTTCTGACCTCGTGGCCTTCCCTGCCTTTCCTCAGCTCCCCACCTTTCAGCCGTGGAGTCAAACCCTCCCAGCTGTGCGGACTCCGCCCTCACTGGCCCTGTCCAGCCAGCAGCAGACCCTGCCACTCGGCCCGCGGCAGTCTCTCCTCACGTGGGCTGTTCCGCTGCCCCGTCCAACTCCATCCAGGGCCAGTTTCATCGCAAAAGCTTCCACACGGGTCTCCCTGCCTGCACCCCACTCACTGCCCAGTCTCCGCGGCACCAGTGACCACAGAAACCCACTAAGCACGCGGCTCCCTCCAAATCCCTTCTGGGCTCCAAGCCCCGTGTCTCCCACCCACTCTGCTCCCACTATGCTGGCCGCCCCCCGGCTCCACCCGGATGGCCGCCCCGCCTTGCTCGCTGGCCTCTTTCAGTTCATCAGACACCACCCTAGGTAGACCTGCAAATCCCCGCCCCCCATCTCCTCAGCCCATTTCAATTCTGTCCACAGCACTCACCACCTCCGTCATACATGTGAGCTGCCTTGACTTAAGGAATGTCTTTCCACCCTGAACCACCACAGTGACTTAGCAGCTGTAGTCATCACTATCTCCAGAGCCTAAAACTGCCTGGCCCACAGTGTGTGCTCCTAGTGTTAAAATGGGACAAAATGTGTACAAAGAGCCCAAATCCCTGCCACAACCAGAACTGTTCTGAGCACTTACTCCGTGCCAGGCCCATCATCCTCTCACGTGTCCCCCAAGGGCCCACTTCACAGAGGAGCCAAGGCACACAGCAGCGTGGGCCCTGCTGTCTGCGCTCTGGCTCCTCCCAGGGAGCTACGGTGGGCTCAGGCCCAGCCTGGGCGGGGTGTCAGGCTCCGAGGCAGGCCTGTCCAGACAGCACACGGCTGACACTTGAACATCTGCCGACTGACTCAGGGGGAGAACCTGAGAGGCGTGGCCTGTCCACTTTACCGGAGTGGCCCGTGTGACAGGCAGGCTTTGAGCCCCGCCAGCCCACCACACAGAGAAGAGGGGGGACTCACCGCCTCCCAGGCGCTGGGCTCCACGCCTGACCACCATCCTCTCCTGCAAGCCTCACGCCCACCCCACGAGACAGGCCTCTCCACCCAGAGCTGGCAGATCAACCGAGGCCCCAAGAAGGCCAGTGTGCTGCCCAAGATCACACAGGAGGGGGAAAGCGGGACTCAACGACAGGTCGGTCGGGCCCCAAAGCCAGGGCCTTCTCTCCAGAGGCCTCCAGGGTAAACCATGAACACCGCGAGCAGGGGCAGAGGAGCCCACAGGCCACACGCGGCGGCCTCTGGCCTGCATGTGCACTGTCTGGCCCACACACTGTAAGTGTGAATCAGCTGCCAACTGTCAGGAGTCTGGAGATTTTACAACAAAATGATTTCTGGCTGGTCGGCCTCGGAAGCACTGATGGAGTGACAGGCATGGATGCTCCCATTAGCCCCATGAGCCTCCACCACTTGCTACTGATGGAGCTGGGCTGCAGTGCCCACTGTTCACCGCCTGATCTGACCACCTCCAGTCACCTGGGTTACCTGCCTGGGCCCTCAAATGGCTAACCCCAAAGGCCAACCTTCCAGGTCAAAGAGTCTAAGCAGCTTTGATCTTTGGGGGAAGTGGGGAAGGAGTAGCATTTACTAAACCCTCAGGCTGTGCCCCGGAGAAGGCAATGGCACCCACTCCAGTGCTCTTGCCTGGAAAATCCCACGGACAGAGGAGCCTGGTGCGCTTCAGTCCATGGGGTCGCTAAGAATCGGACATGACTGAGCGACTTCACTTTCACTTTTCACTTTTGTGCACTGGAGAAGGAAATGCACCCACTCCAGTGTTCTTGCCTGGAGAATCCCAGGGACGGGCGAGCCTGGTGGGCTGCCGTCTACGGGGCCGTACGGAGTCGGACACGACTGAAGCGACTTAGCAGCAGCAGCAGGCTGTGCCCAGGAGACACTGTGTACACACACTCACTGTCACACTTCAAACCCCCAGCTCACAGAGGAGGAAGTGAGTGGTTAAAGGACTTACCTCACTTTCTAGGGGAGGTAGCAGGGCCTTGCACGAAGGTCCAGGAGCCCCTCTCCCCAGTGCTGCCTGCCTCTCCACGGAAACAGGAGGCAGGATTGGGTCCCCCGCCGCCACCCTCCCCAGCTAGCCAGCCCCGGCCCACCAGCACCCCCGTGAGCACTGAGAGCACCGGCTCCCCACAGCCAGCACCAGGCCCCCCAGGCATCGTCTCCCGCAACCTGGCTTTCGTCAGCCTGATTTCACAGCTGAGGTCTCCGCAGCTCTGAGACCGAAGGAGCTGCTGAGGACACAGCTGCCACGTGGCAGCATCAGGATCTGAATCAAGGTCTTTTTGGTTCCAGACTCCGCCAACCTGTGAACCAGCGACCAGAGGGCTCCCCCACCATCCTCTGAGGCCAGGCCCAGCCAAGCGCAGGTCTGAAGCGGCCAGGCTTCCGCCCCTACCCGAGGGCTCTTCCTGCCCCCTCGGCCAGGCTCCCACCTTGATCTTCTGTTGATAGATGTTGTCATCCTCAGCATACTCTTTGTAGAGGACAGAGAGCTCCAACCGCTCTGAGACCAGCGGGTTCTGCACAGCAATCTGCGGGGGGGGGGGGGGGGGGGGGGCAGGAATCTGTCATGTTCTGACAGGTGAATGGAGTGACCCCCACCTGTCAGCCTGAACAGCTAGCTGACAGTTGCTGAGCCAGTCACCCAGCAGCACAAGGACCACACACCCCGCCCCCCATAAAGGCATCTAGTACCAGCTCAGCCTGGGGAGGAGGGAGCTTCCACAGTAGAGACAAACAGTAGGCCTCAGTCCAACCAATGTATCCCCAAAGTAAGGCCACTGGCCACAGCCACTCACCTCTTGCTGAATTCGGTCCTGCTGAGCCATGATGGCTTCATCATAAGCAAGACAGTTAACACCTGGAAGAAAGAAGGCCAAGGATTACAGCGGGCCCTGGATTTCCCCACTCCAGGAAGCTGGGCCGAGGACAAGAATGGGCCAGGAGAGCAGATGTGCAATCTGGAAGCATGCGTCATGCCCTGCTCCACCCCAACTGTGGGATCTTGGCAAAGTCCTTCCCTTTCCCAGGCATGAGTTTTCTCATCTTTAAAGTGAGGAGGCCAAGGACTTCCTGGAGGTCCAGTGGCTAAGGCTCCGAGCTCCCAATGCAAGGGGCCTGGGTTTGATCCCTGGTCTGGGAACTAGATCCCACCTGCCACAACTGAGACCCAGCATAGCCAAACAAGCATAAATAAATGGTAAAAAATAAAGTGAACAGGCCAAGGTGATCACCCCCCAAGGTACACTCCTCCAACTCTAACAAGCCCTCTCCCCCTGCTTTCTAACATCGCTTCCCAGCAGCCTGGGAAGGCCCCTGAGCCAGGCGGGGTCTCTTGAGGAAAGACAGATGACAAAGCAGAGTATCTTGGGCTAGATGAGAGCATCCTGTGAGCTTGCACTTTACTCAATCACGCCATTCCTCCGCCTGCCATCCTGGCTATTCTTAATGGTGCCCATTTTACAAAGAACAAAAATGCAGACAGGTGAAATCATCTGCCCGAAGTCACTACAAGGAAGACCTGTGGTCAAACCCAGGTTGGTCTTAATTGCAAAGCCTGCGCTCTTCACCACAATAACTGCTCTGCCACCTCATTGCACAGGATTGTCTGCTGTGAACAGACACAGATACCACCACCTTCCCCCCTTCACTGTGATGCCGTGAGGAGGTGGTACCTTATCAATACTCATCACTGAGTTGGGCGGGTCCACTCTGTGGGCCCCATGCCAAGCAGCCACTGGTGAGAAGCCAGGAGACCTGAATCCTGGCTCCGGTTCTTTCTTAACTTACATGATCCTAAACAAGTCCCTTAGCGGGCGGGGGGATGGGGCCTAGGTCCCCAAAAGCTCAGTTTTTCAGGGTGCGGTTAGAAGGGGAGCTGTGTGCTGAATGACTTTTCAGGCCAATCCTTTTGAGCTTGAGCAGCCCGGGGCCTCAGCTGGGCCTCCACCCACCCCCTACACTGCACTCCGACTGGGCCGTCCCTCCCAAGACTAGTGACCTCCTCAGTCCCCAGTGTCTAACTCAGGGGTGAGAAGAAGAGGGTGGGACCGTTTTGAGGGGTCCAACTCTTCAGGGGTCTAAGGAAACTGCCGAGACAGGAAGCAAGGGGCTGCGAAACCAGGAGAGGGGGCTCTGCCGGAAACGCAGGGCGCTGCCCTCAGGAGCACACACCTGCGGCCGCTCACAACCCCGGGCCGCCCGCAGCATCCCCAGCGGCCCGCCCAGTCCTTTGTGCTCCGCAGTCCGGCGTAATTCGACGCCCTCCCAAGCTCGGGCCGCTCTGGAGGAGGCGGACTAAACGAGGCCGAACTAGGCCCGGGCCTGACTGTCAGGTCCGGGGTGGGAGAGCCGGGGACCGGGGAGCCAGGCGCCCAGCGGGGAGGGGGCTGGGCGGGGGCTGGGGGGCGGAGCAGCCTAGGCCCCGCCCCAGGGGCGCGCGACAGGGAAGAGTTGCGGGCCGGGGCCCGCCCCGCTTTCTCTACCACCGCCCGCCCGGCTGGGGGTCGCGGCGGCGGCTCCTTCCATTATGAGGGGGAGGGGAGGCGGCGGAGGCAGGGGCCCTCCGCTCGCTTCGCCTCCAGCCGCCCCAGCCCTCCTTTCCTCGGGAACCGGCTATCCGGCATCGCCCCCGCTACCCCAGGCCGGGCGGCTCTCCCCTAGTTGGTACCTTCGGAGTCGCTGCCAAGCGGCTCCTGCTTCTGCTGCTGAGGTTCCTCCGCCGCCATCTTTAAACAGCGCCGCACTGCTGACCGCTTCCGGGTTACTAGTTGGCCTCCCCCCGGAAGACAGCCCCTCCTCGAGGCCCCTCTTTGGTAACGCCCCTAGCAACGGGATCCCCTCGGGCGTAGTCACCTGAGGGGCTCGCAGCCGCGTTCTGCACCGGCGGAAGCCGGGGGACTTGAAGGCAATCCACGCCCGCCTTCTTTCCGCACGCTTGCTCGGCTCGGTCTTCCCAGGCTCCCAATGTGCCATGGGGTGATAAGAGCTTCCTGGGGCCACTTGAGTTTTCTTTTCACTGGAGTTTGAAACGCGGATTGTATTACTGAGATAAGCAGGGAAATGAAATTCAAATCACGGAAGGCGATTCCCGCTGTGGGCTCCAGAACTCAAGACAGGCGAATGCAATGAGGATCACCTAGCCGAGGAGACCGGGAATTCTACTAATATCCGAGCTCTGGGAATTCACCGCCCCGCTCCACCGAGCCTTGGCTCCGAGCGGGCTTTGGTGTCCTGCTTCTGACCGAAAGACCATGTCCCTCGGGGTCGACCTAACTTTGGACTCCCTGCCCTTGTGATTATGAGAAAATCAGGATTGTTTTTCTTTTTGTTTTTTAAGATAGAAGTTGACGACAAGGAGAAACAGATTAGTGGTTCCCAAGGGTTGAGTAGGGGGCAGGAGGGAAGTGGACGTGGTTATAAAAATGAAGCAGGAGAATCCTTGTGGAGATAGAAGTGTTCTTTATCTTGAATATATATGGATATCCTAGAATATGCTGCACTGTAGTTTCAAACGCAAGATGTTACCAGTGGGGGAAAGTGGGTAAAGGATAGGATCTTTCTGTGTAATCTGTTAAAATCACCTGTGAATTACCTAACAAGTGTCAAGGCCTTGGATGCTGAAGATGTAGTTATTTAGGGAAATAACCTTCAGGGGTACTGTTTTCTTGCCTTTCACTATGGAGTGCCTTTTCCATGATGTGACAGTGGTCTCTTAGCACTTGAGGAAACTGTCTGAGCCCCAGTCAGATCCCTCCGTCCATGATAATACAGGTGCAGAATAGGATGAATATCTTCATGAGCTACATCCAGCCCTGGAGCAGGGGCAGTTGGTGCCTGGGCTCACCACATTGCCCACAGTGGCTCTCTCACAGCAACGCTACACATGCCAAGTCTGTGCCCCAACAACATTGCAAATTACTATTTCCTAGGTCACCGATCCTTGTGTTTGCTTCCAAATTCAAGGAAGCACAGGGGCTACCCGTTTGGATCCCATGCCTACCAAACTGGGCTTCTCAGGTGACACTAATGGGAAAGAACCTGCCTGAAATGCAGAAGATGCAGGAGGTGCAGGTTCGATCCCTGGGTCGGGAAGATCCTCTGGAGGAGGAAATAGCAACCCACTCCAGTATCCCTGCCTGGAGAATCCCATGAACAGAGGAGCCTGGCAGGCTACCTATCACCCAGAGTCACAGAGTCAGACATGACTAAAGCCACTTAGCACAACACACACACACAGCACACCAAACTGTTCATTCCTTTTCCCAATTTTACCAGTGCAATCTGGAGCTGCCAGTTAGATCTTCAGTTAGTAACCTTGTGCCTGCCAATGTTCAGTTGTGTCCGACTTTGCGACCCCGTGAACTACATCCCGCTGGGCTCCTCTGTCCATGGGATTCTTCAGGCGAGGATACCGGAGTGGGCTGCCAATTTTCTCCTCCAGGGGATCTTTCCGACTCAGGGATCAAATGCATGTCTCCTGCATCTTCTTCATTGGCAGGTGGATTCTTTACTGCTGAGCAACCTGGGAAGCCCTGTCAGTAGCATTGGTATTACCAAATGAGGAGCAGTTGATGACAAAAGCATGATTTCTATTCTGGCTCTACAAAATCTTGAAAATAGCTGTAAGACAACTCCACCTTTACCCCGACTCCTTACTTTGACTGGGGAGTCTCAGGGGTGGGGAGCACACAAAGGGAGCTGGATTGGGATTAATGTGGGGACAGAGAATCCAATTGCTCTGAAGGGGTGAGAAGGAATCCCATTTGTGGCCCAGTGCTTGACTGCGACCATGCTGACAACGCTGAGTAAATGCCTCCCTCAACACAAGGGTCTGGGGCTCAAAGATCTGCACCCTCAGTGTATGCAGGGTGTGTAGTTGAGGGGCCCTCCTGCCTGCTGCCCACCCTCCCCCTCTTGTCAGGGGTAAGCTTTGACTCTTAATCCAGTCCCAGGATGGTCAACTTTTGCCCTGCTTTCTTCCATGTCAATTTGGTGATAACTGTTCTCTTACCCTCATTCCATCTCTCCTGCTACTTTTTACCATTTCCGGGTTTTGATTCTCTATCCTGAAGCATCTAAAACCCAATAGCATATTTGCCAGGAATCACCAGCTCCAGATGTTCACCTCTGCCTTTCAATTTACAGACCCAGAAATGAATGGTCCCACACTGCCGGTCCTGCCTGCTGAGGCCTATCATGGGACGGGCAGCACTGCTGCTTGGGTTTAGGCTGCTGTTGGAAACAGTCACAAAGGTGATGGGCAGCAGCCTAGGACTTTATGTTCCATAGACCCGACCTGGCATAGATGCCTCTTCACAGGCTCAGGATGTGTCCAAACAACACATCCATGACCATAGCATTCTTTCAGCTGGAGCGAGAAGAGACCCCATGCAGAACCCAGGACTCTGTGACCTCAGCCACAGACGAAGAGTTTTAGGACAGTACAGAGGCCCTAGAGAGCCACATGGCTTCCAGGCCCACCCAGCTTCTCAGGGAAGGAGGCCAGGCAACAGGACATGGCACAGGCCTTGGGAAAGCTGCAATTCTCATAGCGGGATCGTGGGCAGGAGAAAGCCTCAAGGTGGGTGGAAGACGAGGCCCCAGTGATCCTTTCCAAGACAGGCTTAGGAGTCAGGCAGCTGCCCGGGTGGGAAGAGTAGGGACATGCCCAGCCCGGAAATGGACCTCTGGAGATGCCACTGTGGGAATGTCCAACCATCCACAGGCAGCCGGCTCCAGAATTATAGTCTAGCGAGGCTTTGATGGCGCAGCCAGGCTGATGAGGCTGCTGGGTAAGTTGTTCCTTGTCTGCAGGGTTCACACCACCTAAAGCAGAAAGTGAGCAGAGAGGCAGAGGCCGCAGAGAGAGCCCCGCCCCGACCCTCTGACTCACACCACCCATGCTTGTTCAGACACCTTCGTCCTGCAGATGCCTCACATTGCAATTCACCTCAAGACTGCAGAGGATCCAGCCACACTGGACCAGAAGGATCCATGGCTCCTTACTGCGGTTGTTAACTAGACACCAGTTAGTGGTTTAGAACAACACAAATGTTTAGTTTTGCAGTGTGAGAGGTCAGAGGTCTGCTATGGGTTTCATCAGACTAAAATCAAGGTTATCTGTAGGCTGTGTTCCCTTCCAGGGGTTCTGAGGGAGAATCTGCTTCCCACTCACGCAGGCTGTTAGCAGAATTCAGTGCCCTGCAGCTCTGGGTCTGAGGTCCTGTGTCCCTGCCAGCTGTAAACTGAGAACTCTTCCCAGCTTCTAGAGGCCGCTGCGTCCCTTGGAACACAGCCCACTTTCTCCATCTTCAAAACCCCAAGGCAGGCAGAGTTTCTGCAGGGCATCTCTGCCTTCCCTGTCCGCCTGAAGGACCCGTGTACTCAGCCTACGGGTAGGCTACACTTTGGCATGCCTAATTTTCATCACACTTTTGCCATGACGGTTACACAGTCACAAGGGCGCAGGGATTAGGGCATGGACATTTTCCTTCCTGCCACATCACCACCTTCACTTTAGAGTCATGGAAACTGAGACCGAGAGGCTAAATGACTTGGTCAAGGTCATACAGTCAATGACCAAGCCAGGCCTCAAACCGAGGCCTCCTGACTCCCGGTCCACTATGCTTGACATTATATTCTCTGCCATGACTGCAACCTTCCCTCCACACCCCCCACCTGCTGCTTGCACTCCAGGACACAGACACCCACCTCCAGACTCAGGATCCGACAGAGATCTGCAGACAGACACAGAAAATGCTGTTTGGAGGCACAGGGAGCCTTGCTTTCACTACACAGAATGGCCCCTGGGCCTCTGAGTTGGTTAGAGGTTAAGAGAGGGACACAGAATGGTGACCAGATGTAAGGCCCAGGGGAAGACGCGGTCCAAGCCTGACAGCTCACACCCTAGACTCTCCCATCCACCCCCAAGTCCGTGCCCCTGCCCCACCCTCAGCTCACGGCTGCGCCCAGCAGGTACAGGAGCCAGGGGCAGGAAGGGCTGCTGGGCCTCCTAAGGGCTTCCTCAGACCAGGGTCCTGAAGATCCGGCCTGTAACCACCGGCTTCCCTTCAGTCCGAGGAGCAAGCAGTTCAAGACGCACGGCTCTGGGCCTTAGCCCTCCTGGGCCACGGGGACCACTGTGCCCCTCGGGGATCCAGAGGCACAAAAATGAGGGACACCTTGGCAGGGCAGGAGCACCACAGAAACCCAAGACAGCGCTGAGTGTCACAGACTCACAGCCTATCTGTGCCCACAGCAACCAGGCATCACTGGACACCACGCAAAAAGGCCAGGTAAAAAAATAAAATTAAATTTAAAAAATTTTTAAAAGGCCAGGTAAGATTAAATGAGGGTGGGTGAGCAGGGTCCCCCTGCAGCTCCTGTCAACATAAATCAGGAAACGAGCCCTGAGCAGGGGCTGTTAAGATGCGTGTTCTGACACCCAGGGTCTAAAGCACCCAGGGCCCCTCAGCTTTCACCTGGCATCTCTGCCCACCATCCAGCAGCTCCAGGGGACACAGCCTGTGTCTGCTCAGAAATCATTCATGTCACCCCAGCAAAGAGAACTAAAGGGGTGGCTCCAGCGGGTCACAGCCTTCCTTCCAGAGACTGGCAGGCAGAGTTCCAGCTCAGCAGGAAACGCTTCACATACCTGTCCCAGCTAAGGAGATGCCCCCAGGAAGAATCACTGAGGAAGGACCCTGAGAATGGATGGAGGAGCAGC